GGTTCTAATCTCAAAAAAATATTTTTTGGTTCTGATTAACTCACCAAACACTTCAAAGAATTATTTCACCAACAAGCTTATTTTACAAACAATTACTTTACAGAAAGTATATTTAATTAACAGCTTAATTTCACAGGAAATAATTTATATTATTTTCATTATAATTAGTTTTAGAATTAAAAGTTAGTGCAGTTTATAAAAAACTTGTCTGTGAAATAAGTTGCTAATAAAATATACTATCTATAAAATAAACTTGTAAATTAATCATTTGTAAAATAAGCTTGTTGGTATAATGTAATATAAAATAATATAAACCACTACATTTTAGTTTTATTTACAGTACTATCAAAATTTTAAAAATTTTTTTTCTATATTTGTTATATACAAGGTGTTTATAATATAGTTCTGTACTAAATTCAAAAATAAATTAAAAATTAAATAGATTAATTTAAGATATTGTATTAAAATTTGATAATAATAATACTGTTTCAATAAATTAAAAATTTATTATTTGGTATAATTAGAAGTGTAAAGAATTTATTATTTTTTTTTCAGTATTAAAGGTGATCTCTTTGTCAATGGCAATTTATTATCATTAAGTTTTATTTCGGTATACAATGAGAGTACATATAGCCACATGTGCACCTTTTGAGTGTATAATTTAAGTAGTTTGCCTAAAGGTTCTACACTATCTGCTGTACTTGCACCCAACTAGGTGGGTACCTATTTAAACCCTCTGATCATATCCTTACTTCCACTGTGTGGGACTTAAGACCCGGGTGTAACCTCACCATGTACTACCAGGGTGTCATGGATCTATGTGACACCACTAGATTAATAGCCAGACTTAGGACAGGACCGTATGTCCTGATTTATCCTTGAGGTAAACCCGCCAGAGTAATACATTCTTATATATATATTCACCTAGACTTCAGTAACTTACGCTATACCTTAATTCATGTACTTGGGATCAGAGTGTAACTATTAAACCTCTACTATTACCTACTCCACCCTTTTAAGGTTCACAAACCTCTGTTCTACATTCCATCACTTTTCACACCTTACTCCTTTTGGTATTGTTGTTCTCCCAATCCAGATGGCTCGAAAGGATTGGTCTGCCCAGATCTGAGTTTCCCAGGCTCAAGTCTGAAGGTCTCCCAATCCTTGGTCCACAATTTCATAACATGTAACCTTTTCCTCTGGATGACCCGGCGGCCTGGTTGGTAGATTCCTCTTGCCTGTAAGATCTTTGTTGCACAACTTCTCTAATTTTTGAAGTTCAGTCGAATCTGTCCTGTAGTACAAGTAACACCTAGTCAGAACAGTCTGCTACTTCCTTAATTGAGATTTGCCAAGCAGGTTTTAATTCTCTCAGGCTACTATAAGTAGGTCTTAATAAGATCGATCAGGACATCTTATCATGGGTTTGCACTGCCTATACCAGTTTGTATTCCTTTGTGAAATGACACAAATGCATCCATATCTCCCAGCACCAACTCGGGGCGTTGGTATGCCCTGGTTTACAAATATATAAACCCAGCCCAATTTAGAAGAACTGTTACTGTGACACAAGTAAATTATTCGAAACGTCACCAGTGGATTCAAACTCAGTACTTAGCCAACAAACTTGGGGATGCAACAACTCTACTACTTCACTACGTCGCCACACACTGTAAAGAATTTATTATAATAATAAGTACTTTTATTATATATATAAAAAAAAATTTTATAGCAAAACTATCAGCAATATATTCTAAATATTCTACAGTATATTTTTAATATTAACACATAATAGAGTTGTTGGTTTAATAATAGCTAAAAAATTTTATACTATAAGCATTATTATTAAAAAATTTTATACTATAAGCATTATTATTAAAAATTTAAGACCAACTTGATTATTCAACTTGACAAATATACTAACACCTTTGTAGCTATAACTAACTATTTTCTACTAATAGTTTCAATAGTAAATTCATATAACACATATGATCTTAATAGATTTATTCTCTTTTTTGCTATATAGGTATTACAAAATTGCAGACAAGATTCTTAAAATACTTTGTATTTTCAGTAAATTAAAGTCAAAGTAAGATTATTAATATTAAAAATACTTATATTTTATTAAAGTCTTAATAAATCAGCAAAATATTAAGATCTATTGCACTAAAGTGCTATTAAAGGTAAAACAAAAGCCTATCTTTGTGATTTAAATTTTACTTTTTTATCTTACTTTAACTTACTAATTATGTAATATTTAAAAATTCAGATATTCTATAGAATAGGTAGGCAAACTCCACAAACTCTGTAACTCTGCTAAATATCTATTAATAATTACTAATTATTAGCAAAGTTTATTTTTATATTGCCATCTATTCTATAGAGCATCCAAAAATTCTAAATATGTACTATATCCCATGAGTATAATTTCCTTTTAGGAAACCCCTGAAAATGATGATTGGAAATAGCTAACTGTTGCAATCAGGGTTGTTATTGAAAATGTCCAAATAAATTTAATTAGGTTTTTGAACATTGGGACTATGTCCAATTTGTCTAATTTATTCAAAAATTTTTTGGGCTATTAGATATTAGACAATATCCAAAACTTTATAAGTTAATTGAACTTATATCCAATTGTCCAATAACCTTATTGGATAAATTCAATAATATTTGAAATTTTTTTGTATATATGAATATCAAGTTGTGTTGTACTTATAATTAATGATTGGTGCCATAATTCAAACTGCAAGATGTAATAATGTAATAATTATTTATTACAAAAAGTAATAATGTAATAATATTTATTATATGTAATAATATTTTACTGTGTAATAATTATTATTACAAGTAATATTTATTATTATAAATAAAAGTTTTTATTATATAGCAATAATTATTATTATATATAGTATTTAATAATAATATTACATTATTATTATAAAAATTTTTCTGTTCAAAAAAAAAAATTATGTCCAAATGTCCAAATGTCCAAATTGTCCAAATGTCCAATATTTTGACATCACATCTCTGGTTACAATTTACTATAAAATCAGATTTTTTATATAAGTATCGATCACACAAATTTCATAGTAAACATTTATTTACCTGATCTATGTTACATCCCAATCAACTGGTACGTATGTACATACCAGTGAAAAAGTGGCATGTATACCGATACTGTATTATCCTATTTATTGTAACTACAATGTTATACAAGGTTCATCAAAAACAAGATATTAAATTTTTTTTTTGGTTTTGTAAGTGTATGAAAATTTACTAATTATTTTTTAGCAGCTTAGCTATAACATTTATTTTCAGGATTACTGTATGATTTCTGAAAGCTATATTTCTCTGCAAAAAACATAATACTGACTAATTGTTTCCTTTTAGTAAAATATCTTTGAGAAATTGAGTTACATTACTGTCTTAGTATTAAAACAAATCTATTAATAGCAGCTCCAGTAGTATCTATTTTATTGCAGTATTGTATCAATATTAATAAAAATGAACTTGAAATATTTCAAATTATTTTTAAACAAAAGTAAAAATTATGGCCTAGGATATAGTTAAAGAATTTTGAAACATAGTTTAGTATATTTAAAGTTACAAGTTTGTCTCAGCAAAATTTTATTTCTTAAACAAAAATTTCTTAGTTGTATTATAAGCACTAACTGTAAAACTTGAAAAATAAGTACCTATGGTAAATAAATGCTCTTAAAATAAAAATTTATGTTCTATAAATAAGCACTGTTAAATAAACTTTATAGATTTTTAAAAATAAGTACCTATGGTAAATAAATGCTCTTAAAATAAAAATTTATGTTCTATAAATAAGCACCGTTAAATAAACTTTATAGATATGTATATGAATAAGTTCAGTAAAAGATGTTAAGCTTAATAAGGAAAACCTTATTACTTTTATTTTGCTATTTATTAAAAACAGATTAATATTTAGAAAAACTTAGTATTAGTGCATTTTATGAAGAAACAATGTTAAATATATAATACAATTGAATTTTGTTAAGATAAGTAAAATTACGATTAAAATCAAAAGAAAACTGGCTGCAACTAAAAATATTTTTATAACATTATTTAGGTATGCAATATAACCATGATCACTAAAAATATTAAAGGATTCAAATTATTCGAATTGTTATTTGACTTATTCAAATTATTTAAATTGTTTGACTAATTACGTTAAGAGGAATAAAATTGTATTCTACTGGGTGTCCCAAAAGTTCTTATACACGATCCCTTTTTTTTTAAAGTGATCTTATATAGAGATTAGGAAAATTTTAAATTAGTTGTTCGATTGGCGATATATCTGTCAATTGATAAGTAGCAGCACACCCAACGATATGAGTAGTGATGGTCACCTCGCGTGATCCCGCGCGGGATAATTTGAGAAGTGTCATAATTCTGGCCGAATTCCAAAACATTCCTAAGTCGAAATATGAAAAAAAATCAATCCCGCGAGAGATTTTTAGAAAACCAGCAGCTTATTGCCCATAAGTAACAATTGATTAGCATAAGTTCTATCGATTAGAATCAATTCAGCAATTCGATTATAATCGATTGGATTAATATACAATCGATTTTAATTTACAGCTATATATTTTCATATACTCGGATCTAGTAAAAAATATTTTGATTCACATATAAAACAATGTATACATATATTTCATGCATAGCGATAGTTACAAGATCAACATATCAGCATTCTTTTTCATAGCAAAACTGTGAGCTATTAACATTGTATTTTGTGCAACATATGTCCAAGGTTTGTTCAAGCATATCCAAGAACAACACTAGCCGTACGGAGTCATATAATCTATACTTGTCTGTAGACTTTCCGTTGCAATGATATGTCATGACTCATACTTTGGGGCTGCCGGTGATTTGTAATTTTGTTTGGCAAATAAGAATCATAAGAAATTTAACCAATAATATATTTAAAAAAGAAATACAATCGTATAAATTTAACAGTTGAAACAAATAAATTATAAAGTTTTATTGAAACACATTAACCGCCTGATATTTTTTTCAATTGGATCTTTGTTTTTAGTATTTCCAGTTGACATCTCACCAACTTCGATCAACTTCCACATTCCTATTATCATCAAATAATAATAATAATAATGTATTAAAGAAATAAAATTCTATAATATCAAAATTATGTACAAAATCTTACCGTTATTCGATCGATTAATAAGACACATTATAACAGCTTGAGATTTTGTTGCTTGTCCTACAGAATAATTCCATAATTGCCTATCTGAGTTCGCTTCATCACATAATTTAAGACTCAGGTTCCGAAATTGATCAATTGTTGATTTACATGAACTTAGAACAAAGTAAAGCTGACTAATACAATTAGGAAGTTCATCAAGCTTAATTGTTATTTTTTGATGTCCTCTAGCTGTGGATAAATTAAAATACATTAAATGTACATAAGAATGTTACTTGATAAATTTTAAATATAGAAACTGACCATTTGCAACGTCTATGATGTCACCAGAATGCTTGATATATGATATGCTAGGATAATATGTAGACAAATTGTCATATTTTTTCCACAATTCATCACCATTATATATCAAACAAGTACAGTCAAGAAATTCTTGTCCTGAATGGGGAAATTCCCAAAATAAATCAACCGCCAAACATGATAAAGCGAGAGAATTAAGAACGATAAGTTGGATATGACTATTCGCATGAATTCCATAGCTTTCTAGTGTGCTATTAGTTGAATCATCTTGAAAATCCTACATAAAATATATAAAAATAATAATTAAAATAATTAAAAGTTGATATAATAAAGATAAATGAAATAAATAATTTACATTAAGTTCGACGTCATTATGAATTAATCTTTGTTTTGTAACTTCTATTTTAGTGGCATCTCTTAATGCATATTTTAAAGCTTTAACGGTTGTAATTTCGGATGATTTAAGTGTGATCTTTTCTCCATTCAATAAGACAATGTAAAAAACACCAGATTCTGCATCATTTGGGCCAGAAAGTTCAGCACGCGCTTGAGAGAAACTTTCAATATCAATTTTGAAGATTGAATTATCCCAAAACAGAAAGCAATCATTAACTTCCTGTTCAGTCAAATCAATTTTGCATATAGGACATCGACGTTGCGTTCCTCTTAAGTAACTCACAATGCACTAACAAAAAATTGTTTTTAAGTGACATACACATTTATTGGTATAGCTTTGAAACGTTTTAATACCTCAAAACACCAAGACATGACATGTCTACACTTTGAACTAATTGAACTTTCGGGAAATTCTTTCAAAGGCTTTATAATCTGACACTGCTCACACTTCATTACGTATCAATGTTTTTTTCAAGGACAAATTTATAAAATGTGAATTTTATTTGATTAAATATTAACGATCATCAAAATGCGCCTTTATTGCAGGAGTATAGTGAAAATTATTTATATAATTAGCAGTGGCGTAGTGGTGGCGTAAATAGTAAAAACATATCGGATATCGATATTGCAATACCGTAAACACTTGAACAAGCAAACCCACAAAAATAAAATTATATTTATTTATTTCATTTTAGTGTATTTTTTAAGTAACAACGCCTTTTTTTTTAATTGCTTGAAACATAGCGGAGGGCCCAAATTCCATGAAAATGGTCATTTTTGATTATTTTTTTTAAATAAACATATCAAAAACATAGCTTTAAGCAATTTACACTACCACTATGCCACCGCCATTTATAAAATCATCATTACTGAATATACGTATAACCTGCACTATGTTGTAATTAGATACCCTAACCTTTTATGTACGTATATAAATTTAAAGTCCAAATTTAGACACAATGGGATTTAAGAATTAACGTTAACGTTAATGATCCGACATCCGATTTCAGATAAATGGGTTTACTAATTTCTCCCACCAGTTCCTATTGGACGAGTACAGATCTCATTTCCGATTGGAAAAAAATATCCACAT